GAGGAAACCTAAGATTCAGTGAAGAAATCAGTCAACGGGACTGTCTCTGTGAACAACGGCCTCTACCCTGAGACCAGAAGAACCAGATGGTGCCTGGCTGTCATTCCCGAGTACCCTGATCAGGCTCACAGCTGATGGATCCTGGCAGAAAGGGTGCAAACTGTAAGACAGAGTTCCGAGTCTCAAATCCTCTACACTTACTGGACCCATCAATGCTGGAGGAATCCTTGAGATTATCGCCCTCAAATACTCTTGAAGCCTTGGACTGACACTACGCCCTGAAGTCACCTTCTAACTCAAGAGCAGGTTAACTCAAAAAGTTGAGTGTCACCATTGAGTGATCTGCTCTTTTTAAAAATTAGCTGTATGAGACCAAAGGGGCCAATAGTTACTCTAAAGCATGGATGGGAAAGTTGGTGTGTGCGTGTGTATGTGTTCACGCATGTACACGTGTGTAATGGGACAAAGTGAATGGGAATGGAACAGCTAGAATGGAAATACAGGCAGACTTTGGAGAAACTGCATGTTCAGTTCCTGGCCACCACAATAAAGTGAATATCAAAATAAAGTGAGTTATGTGAGATTTTTGGTTTCCTAGTGCATATGTAAAAGGAGCTCTGGTAGTGTAGTGCCTAAGGCATTTGACTGCTAACCAGAAAGTTGGTGGTTCAAAGCCACCAGCCACCCCACAGAAGGAAGATGGGGCAATCTATTTCTACAAAGATTTACTGCCTCGGAAACCCAATAGGGGTCACTGAATCAGAGTCAACTAGATGGCAGTTAGCTTTTCGCTTTCGGTAGTCTATTAATTGTGTAAAAATGTTATGAAAATGTTTGAAATATTTTGAGAATTACCAAAATGTGACACAGTGACACAAAGTGAGCACAATGCTGTTGGGAAAATGGTGCCAGGTGACTTGCTCAGGCAGCGTTGCCTTGAACTTTCAATCTGCAAAAAACGCAGTATCTGCAAAGCACAATGAAACAAAGCACCATAAAATGAGGCACACCCATAACAAGAATGTTGACACAACGTGAACATGTAACCAATATCAATGGAAAACAGGTGTCAAGATGGTTGAATAGGAACTATTTTGCTATGAATACTTTGGTACTTTCACCAAAAATGTAATAAAATATTTTTTCAAAAATTTATGTGGAGTTTTTACAGAAAGCCAGTACCTTGACTGTAAATCTCTTTTAAAAATAGCTTTATATTTGAAAGCAATTTATAGATGTTTGCCTTTCATCTGTGTCCTTTTCCAAAGTCAAAGACCAAAGAGAAAGAAAAAAAAAATCTTGGAAAGAAAGTTGCAGAAGTTTCCTCCTCCTGTTTTCTGTAACTCTGCACAGTGAGGAACCAACGTGTGGACGGGTTCTCTGTAAAAACAGAGCCTTTGACAAAAGTATTCAGAAAGCTATGAGGGATAAGTAAACATCTTACAGGAAT